TTAAAATATTTGAAGTACAGCACAATTCAACTTGCAAGAAAAGTGTAGCCTCAGAAGAAAGCGAGTAACAGGTGTCAGAACATTAACATATTCATAATGTAATCAGCAGACTAATTCAGAGAATGAACATGGACCATGTCCTTGTAAAAGAAGGAAGGAGAATGATTAAATATTTTGTTAAGTAAACAAAGCACAATATTTTTCTATGAACAAAAAAAAATGAAAAAAAAAAGGAAGAATATTTGAATAAGGCTGTGTATTTTATAATTATAGACAATTTTATGCATAAATTCATCTAGCCACATTTTATATAGTTTTAAAACCTGTTTTGAATTGGGATTGAATTCTTTTCTGTTTTCACAATATTAATTAATATATTAAATAAAATGTGATAATGGGAGTAATAATAACATCGAACTTGGTGGGGGAATCATTTATCGATTTAAAATTTTACTTTATATGGAACATTTCTTTATTTCAAAAAGTTTTTTCAATCAAATTATTTCAGACAGTTAAAACTTGCTGGGTTCTTGGGTTTCTACATATGGAAGTGTGCATATTCATACACGCATAAACACAAATACACAACAACAAAAAATCTGTTCTCTCAGAAATAATTATATATTAAATAAATGAGAAACTTAAATTCCATTAAGTTTTAATTTAAGAAAAAAGAAATGGCCTTTTAGCATTGAGATTAATAAAATGAGGCAACATCAAAGGTCTCAAATTATTGTAATACAACCTGATAATTGTATATTCTGATAGTTAATTCCTAATGACAAGAGAGTAATTTTAACTAGAACAGTATTTACACTATAAATACAACAATAAAAATGAAGAGAGGAGAGGCTTCCATTACAATAACAAAAGCTGAGCATCCTTCTCTAAATCTTGGTTCCAATAATGTGGAACCAGCCAAACTTGAATTTATGAGAAATCTTGCACTTGTTCTATGAATTAAAGTAGTTGTGTCTATCAGGTTAAGAGGAGTTGAATGATGAAAGATGGAACATGTATGTGAACACACACACACAAACACACTTCCTTAGTACAAGGTGATCCTTGATCAGCCATAGTGTGAGCAATCCAACTAGCAGAGATGATGTGTTATAGAAGTAAAACTGTTTAACCTGCAGCAGTACATTAACTGCATCAATCAAATAGATTCCATATTCAGAATCAGAGAAGCAAGACAAAATAAAATAACTTTTCAAATAATAATAAAAAATAGATTATGTCCAGAGGTTTACGTTTAATGGTAGTGAAATCTAATGCAATAAAAATAAGCCTAAAATAGGTTCTGATACAGAGAGTTTCTATCATTATTTGGGAGAAGTATAATTTTCAACACATATTTCACATTATTTTGGCATCATTTTTACCACATTTACTTCTACAAAGTTATTGATTTTTTTCAAGTCAATTCCATTTGAATTTCTTTTCTTCAGCTATTTTATTTTATTTTTTTTAAGTAGGAAGAAATTTATTTTTGATTATATTATTGATTACACACAATAAAGGGATGTGTTAGAAAATAAAAACATTGTGTTAATTTGTTTAAAAAATATATGAAGGTGTTTCATTTTTTCTTTGTCTTTCTTAAATATCACTTTTGTGCTGATGAAGGTGCTGATATTCGAAATATTCTCTTGGAATGTTGTGATCAATCATAAAAAAAAAACCTTTCAGCAGATATCACAAAAATACAAAGAATTTATCAAAAGCAGGATGATTTTTGTCCTTATTTGTTAGGAACGTGCAAACACATTTACATACAAAATGTCAATTTTCAATAATTTGATCTAAAAAGTGGAATTACAGAATGTGCTTCTGCTTTAGCTTTATTAAAAAACCAAAATAGTTCCTTGCATAAATGATAAAAAGAAAAGAAATTTAAATTCTTGCTTTCAAATGAGACAAAGAGAATTATTAAGCTTTGAAAATTTAAAAGTACTGTTCTTAACTTAATGAATCCAGATTTATGTTTTCCCGTTTCTTTCTTTCCGAGTTGACAAACAATCAAAATGTTTTTGCAAACAAGAAACAAATACTTTTATTTTTAAAGTAGTCAAGGTTTTAAGATTGGTTCTCTTTAGTATTGAAAAGTTCAGTAAATGTAGTAGCATTTTTTTTAATCATTTTACTTAATTTAAAGAAAATAGAAAAGTAATTGCTGATATAAAATCTAAACAGCTGTTTTTTTTATTTTTCAATCCTCATTGGGTACTCCAAGCTGGCTGCCTTGTGTTCCAAACTAAGTAATGCTTAGTAAAAAAACAACGATGACAAATCTGTAGGAACTTATTTTTACAGCCGATATAAAAATAAAACATAATCACACATACATAAATTTTAAATGTATGTGCTTAAGCTTAAGTATTTCTTTTTCCTTGGAGCTGTGTGTGTGTGTGTGTGTGTGTGTGTGTGTGTGTGTGTGTGTGTGTGTGTGTGTGTGTGTGTGATACACCTTAAAGTACACACACGCACGATTTTCAAACGCGTTATCAGAATTTTCATTTAACAAGCCAAAACATTGAATCTTTAATCAGGTGATTTGGTTAACCGAGAACATGATGAGTGCAAGAACACCCATCATCAGTACAATTATTCACGTACTTGTAAAATCCTTGTTTTTGAAATCATCCATATTAGAAAAGTGGATGTCATTTAACTGCTAATGATAAAAAACTGTTTAACAGGTATATGCAAATTGCATGATATTCTAAACATTCAGAAGTAAATTAGAATGAACTAAGCAAACATACACAGACACACACACATAGATCCGTAAAATTAACATTCAATTTGATTAGTGGATTGATGAAAATAAGCATTTCCAAGATATAAAATTTAATTAATTTGTGTACAGTCACAGTATATATGTGTGTTTTATTGAACAGCTTTTGTTCTGATCTGATTTCTTGCAAGAAAGTCTACCTGCCATTATACAATATTCAGGTGAGAAAGAACAGTTCACTTGAAAAATTCTTCATTTTCTTTTCAACTAAAATGAAGAACTTAAAATATTGCATAAATTAGTTTTACTTTTAGAATTTATTCCAATAAAATTAAAAGCAAAACATAATTTCTTTAAAAAATAAATAATAAAAGAAAACATAAGCGAATCAAATAATTTTGAAAAATATAATGGCAAATAATTTTTTTTCCTTATTTCAAAGAAAGAAAGGAATGATTTTCAAATCCAACAACAAAAAATGAGTTTTCATTTTAAATGCTTCCTTTTTGATATAAGAATCATATTTTTTTTTCTGAAATATAGATTGAAACGTCAGTCTCACAGGCTAAAATTTCCGCAAAGAATGGAAGCGATTTGCCAAAATAAGCTTTTTTCCCTTAGATTGAAACAAGGAATAATAATAATGATAATTAAGAAGAAAATGAGCGAATAAATGATCTGATCAGTAAATATTTAGAAAAACGGACACGACCTCATTTTACGTGAGCGCATGGAAAAAAAATGAAGCAAACATATTAGTTAAGTTTCTGTTTAAGTAAGTAGAAATTATAGAAAAAGTACTAGAAAAATTTAGTATTTGTTTATCAGATAAGAAAAAAAAAAACGATTTGTGTCACAGAATTTTATTATAGTTTTATTTGTATGAAATCAATAAAGAAAATAAAAAAAGACCGAACAGATTCGATAATTTAATGTCCCAAAAGATTTGCCACAAAGGTTAAACAATCAAACAAACATTCAGACAAAAATTTTGGGATAACGGTCAACACAACCAGTGATTTTCCATAGCATAAAAACTAAAGTATGATTCATGAACAATAAAATGTGAAAATGAAAGCGAATTTGAGGAGTTTGCCTATTGTGATTTTTTTTTCTTCTTCAACTATGATGAAGATAAGAGAAAAGAGACAGAAGAAAACGTTAGAAAAAATTGAATGAATGGATGAATGACGAAGGCATTGAAACGTTCATGCAGATTAAAAGAGGCAGACGACGCAAGAAGAAAATTATTAATTCAGTTTTCATTAAAAGAAGGGCACAATGGACACACATTTCATAGATTAGTTACAAAAATAAGCGAAAAACCAATAAAACAAGACTTAAATTGAGAATCTATTCGTCTTACTCTTAGTCTTAAGAGTCAATTTAATTTAGGTTTTAAGATGGAACAACAAGTGACAAAAAACTGCAAAGGTTTTCAAAAGCAAAAAAAGAAAGCAGGACAAGTGTAAACTAAACACTAAACAGTAAGAAGAAAAAGAAATTTAGAAACAAAACCCCAAAAAACAGTTGCCTTTAAGGTTGACAATGAAAGAAAAAGAAGAATCTCAATCGTTTTTAGACCAAGGTTATGCAAAAGCAAAAACATAACCACAACGTCATGATTAATTATTATTGCATCGATCTGCGGACGTACCGACGATGACGACAACGACAGCAACATTGGCAATATTGTACGGGGATTTTTCACTTAATACATAAAGTGCGACAAAATATCCCTTTTTGACTGTTTCACAAATTTAATCATTCCCATTTAAACAAATATAAATACATGGCAATTCATGATGAAAGGGTTGCCTAAGAATTCTCAGACAATCTCTTATAGTTTTCTTATTTGAAACTGCGCTCAATTTTGGGACATTAAAAAAGGTTATGAATTTCAAAATATCTATTTTTCTATTTGATGAAAATAAAAAAAAATAATGCGATTTATTGAAAAAAAAAAACCCAAAAAAACTTATTAATGAAAGAAAAGAAGAATTGATTCGGTGTTTTTTTTTAATTAATTTTTCCCTTACAACCTGATTTTTTTAATTATCATTTTTAATTTCTTTTTTTTCACGCACTTTTCCACAGACATAAAAAGTTGTTTCTAATCTAGAATTTAAAAATATGAGGCAAAAATAAAATGCATAAAATATCGACGAATATTTTTTGTATATAAATTAAATTTAAAACAATAACTAAGTTCTTTTTGCTTTTACCTTCTTTTTTTTTTTTTTTTCAACAGAACACTTACCTGAAACAATCCAGCCCCCAAACGATTTTTAACAACTATTTTTATTATTATTCCTGTCGTCTTCATCGGTTCGAACGTCCATGACTAAGAGAAAAATCACCGAATCCAAATAACAAGAAAGAGAAATAGAATTGAATTATCGCAATAAGGTGACAAATTTGGATTCTGTCCTGTAAACTGTACAATATTTGATGATGGCTTTTTTATGTTCTGTTGTTGTCTTTTAGAAAAGATTCACAGTAAATATCCTCCTCGGTGGTGGCTTTTTCCCTGTCAGTCGGCGGTGGTGGCCAGCAACAATTTTCGCTTTCATGTGTTTCGATCGTTTTCCCTCTCAGAGAGAGAGAGAGAGAGAGAGAGAGAGAGAGAGAGAGAGCTACAAAGCAAGAACAAGAGAGTGGGACGCAGACGCTCAGCCTCACTGTGTGTGTGTGTGTGTGTGTGTGTGTGTGTGTGTGTGTGTGTGTAATGCTCCCTATCTCTCCGTCATTCTCTCGTCGTAGTCCATATGCAACAATATGCCCCTCACTCTATACAACTGCCTTTCAATCTAAACTGCTCTCAGTAACCCTCTCTTTATCTTTTGTGCAGCGAACTACCCCCTTCTTGTATGTTTGACTCTTTGTTTTTAGACCCCTCTCCCTTTGTTCAGCAATCTTTTCTTCTCTCTTTCATTTTCTCTCGATCTTGAACTGTTGATTTTGTTCTCTATCTCTTTCCATATTCGTCATTTCTCTCGTTGTCTAAAAATGTCTCGCCTGTTATCTTTCTTATTACTACTCTCTGACTTTTTCATCAACTCTGTCCAATCTTTGTATTTCATTTACATTTTCTCTCTCTCGATCACCCTTTCTTTAGTTTTTGCTAAAAAAAAGACCATTGCTTTTTAGTTTATTCCTTTATTGACTGACTCATTCTCTTTCGACGAATCAATTCTCGATTCCACCTTTCTCCATTTTCTTTAATTTTTTGTCACTTCCAATGTTTTTACTTTCTATTTCCTTTTCACGTTCTCTTCTCTCTTATACTCATGTTTTTTTTATTACTCAACAATGAAAAAAAAGAAAAAAAAAGACAGTAATAATTACCACTGTCTTCGTTTCGTTCATCCTTTCAACACCCTTCATATTTTCGTTCTTACCTGTAGTATCGGTCATCTTTTTCTCACGATTTCTTATTTTCTTTTTATATACACTACTAACTACACACAGGTATATCTTTCTCTTTTCCGCTTCTGTAACCCCCACAAAAAACAGAATTATTAGTGCGCTTTTTTGTCTTGTATGTGCGCGTGCACGCAGACACATACACATATTCACAGAATACACACCTTTTTCTTATCCTCTGCCTACTTCTCTGGTATCTCCTTCTCACCCATCAACTGCTGCAACTGTCGCTAAAACGATGGCAATGCTGATGATGACAATGAATGATAGGAATACTGATGTCCTCATCACGCACTCACTCATTCACACTCTCCAACAGTACGTGAATACTCTCTTTTTTTTTCTTCTCCGGCTTACTGCTGTTCCTCATCCTCTTCCTCATAACTGCAGTGAAAGCCCTTTACCAACAGAAAAAGTGCCGCCACCAACTTTCACTTTCTCCCTTCCTCCCTTTCAAACTTTTACCACTGAGGCCACCCATTCGATAGAAAGGGCAGCAAAGCGAGTGAGTGCGATGGCCACTAGCAGCAGTTAGCTACAGTACTACTACCAGTAGTAGTAGTAGCTTGTTTAGTAAATAATGACGTTCTTGCTGAGGAAGATGAAAAAGTAGTCATCATGTTGAACTAAGTGAGCTTCATAAACAATTTTTTATTTATTAACTAATTCAGTTGATGTTCACAATTCTTTTTTATGACACTGGTCAGTTAAAACAATCATTATTATTATTTCTATATTAATGCTTATTGCTAATAATAATATCACTCATGTAAATTAACAGCTAGGATGGCTGCTAATAGAACCATCACTACTACTACAGGTGTGAGTCTCTGAAACGCTAATAATACTGCTATTTCTCAAATAGTGGTATGACTGATAGTGGTTATTAGTATAACAATTGCTAGCATCGAGCGTCCAATCAGTGAATTTGATTGATAGATACACGCCTGATACAAGTAGTAGTTGCATTCAGGGCATCTTGTAGTGGCCATCATTCAAATAATCATTATCAGTATTATCAATAAAATCACTATCTTTGTCATTTCTGTTAAACAGTTTTAACAATCAAGAGAATAAGAAAACAAACATTATCAACCATTGCTATCTATCTAGTTACAGCAACAGATATATAATCTTTCAAAGTAAATACATTCGTCTTTTGCTTCTTACATTTATGACAATATACATACAAGCAAATTCTCTACTTAAACCAGCTGGTATTCTTTTCCTACTGAATCTATATCACCTGACACTTTCTCTATCATCATCACCTATGATCATGATGATTGATAATGATGATGTTGACGATGATGATTATTAAGTATAATGTTATTGATGTTCTTGTCATTCTCTGTTCGCACTTAAAGTTTAATCACCAGTAATAGCATCTTCTAGGAGAACATTTCATTTTAGTGAACTTATTAGAAGGTTTTCATTTAAGAGTAAGATGTTGTAGTTGTTCCTTGATGCTTCCATTTATTTGAAGTTTTTTGATGCTGCCATTTATTTTGGAGTTTTTCATCACAGATTCATCACATAAAAACTTGTTGCTGATACTTCATCATTGCCATTATCACCATCATCATTGCCTCCTTTTTCCCTCTCCATCATTTTATTCTATAATGTTTTATCTTTAATCAATAAATAGCTTCAATTTCAGTTTTTTATCCAGTAGTTTTTGAATGTAAATTGTATGCTATTACAGAGTTAACAACTACAAATACACCTTTCCTCACTACAGCTGGTGAAGTGTTCACCACCATACTTAAATTTATTTTTTATTCGCTGTTTTTATATTTGGATGTTATTGTATGCATGAAAAGCCACACCTTTCTTTTGCTATAATATTTTTGTAAATACATTTTGGTAATTTACAGTAAATTAAAATATCTGATTTAGCATTTGTAATCATTACTTTAAAGAACCATCAAATAGATATAGAAATAAATCGTAATCTATTCAGAAAGGTAAGTAAATGTTTATTGGTAAGTGTATGTATAACAGAAAAATACAGAAATGATCATGCATATTCATTATGACACTGAATATATAGATGTGGACACTCATATAGCTCAATGCATATATGCAAATGCATGTATGTATGCACATAAAGACACACCCACATGTCAATTTATATATGTTTGTGTCATCTAAAAATTAGCTCCCTTCAAACACATTTTATCTATAGGCAGATATATTTCTGAATGCATGCATATTGATAAAATGTCCCCTTACATTCATTATATATGTGTTGATTGACACTTGTTATAGTGTAATGATTTGGAATTTAATCTTACGGACAATTTTTAGTGTTTGCTTTTCACTAGACCTAAATATTGTAAAGGTGTTGATAAATTATAACATATATGTTTATAATATGGCCTGAGAAAAAAAATAGAGAAAAAAGAGAATAAATTGTGATTGTAACAATTCAGGAGATAAAGAGATGGAAAAAATATAAGAGTTGAATAAAAATTAAACCAAACCAATGAATATGTTAGGAAGAAGTTTTGGGACTCCACTGAGGTGTCTAACAGAAAAAAACCTTTTCAAAAACAGATTCTAATATAGTATCAATAGAGAAATTAATAAATATAGACATTTTAATTAAGTAAACTGTAGAAGAAGTATGTGTATGCATACATGTGTGTGCATTGAAAGGGAAAGAAAGGATAAGACATGTGTAAAAAGTAAATGGCTAAAAAGAGAAAATATGTAAACCTCATCACAGCCAAACTGAGGTGGAAAAGAAATGTAATGTGGTATGTGTATAAATAAAAAAAAATATGTTGTGGAATGAATGATACAGGGGTTGTCAATAGCAACAAATAGTAGATTTTGAAAATTTCTTCTAAATGAGTGTTTATTTTTATCAGAATGTTGCATTTTGTTGCTCATGGTCAAATGTTTGTCAAATGTTGAAGAAAGATAGGTGTAGGAAGAGATTTTTAAATACTAGTGAATCATAAAATTGGTTGAATTTCTTAAACAGTCAAAGAAAGTAATGATAAAAAGCAGATATGTAGTTGTGATTGTAGTGATTGCTATTGTGGTCAATGTAGTAGTTTGAGAAGTGCTTATCTGCTTCTACAAAGGCTGATAGATAACCCGACTGAGACACTAGCAGTTTTGTGCAAATAGAATGAAAAACCTGCTAAATTGTTCAATATTTGTTTCAACATATCTTGACAAAGAATCAACATCTTCATGCAATGAACCATTAACTTAGGTTATTGAAAGTATTTCAATGATCCAATTCCTTACAGCTATGAATAGGAAATGCAGTGAAAATACTTATCTCAGCTTACATGCTTGTTAAAAGACTAGATCCAAAATCAACTCATTCAAGAACACTGTTACTAAATGTGTCATGACACCTGTTCATAAACATCAAACATTAAAATTCATATTGATAAAGACTAAGTGTAAGATTGATATCAGTTGGTATGGAAATAGTTATTAAAGATTTTAATGTCTAGACAAAGGTTTGAACTTGAATCAGCTGATTCAAAAATAAAGATCATTACTAATTGAGCTTCAGTGATTTTTGTTGTTTTATTTGTCAAGGTGTTGTTGATTTGAGTTTTCCTTTGCTTTTTATGCCTTAAGAAAAGGTGCAAATTTAAAGTTAAAAACAACTACAGTGTGAATACTTTTGTTATTTTTTTTCCATTACAACAACATTGCTATCACATTTTTATTGTTACTATGTTTTGCTGTTTTTTTTAATCAAAGAAACATTTCAAGGGTAAGATAAATAAGATTATCATTTCAAATTAAAAGATGATAGGTCATAGGTAGGTGGAAGTGAAATGACACAATAAAAGATGAAGAAGGAAGAGGAGAAATATTAAAAAGTCAAGCAATAATATTCATTTGAAGTATCTCAACAACAGGTAG